TTCTTTCAAAAACCAAAAGATAACAAAAATAGGGCCATTATTAACAGATATTGATTGTGTTGGTTGATGCAATTCATTCTTAAATGTGTAGAGAAAACTAATTACAGCCAGAATTTAGTATATGTCTAAGAATATATCCATATTAGAGAATTGATAAACCAATACTAACTTAATAACAGTAAATTGTCTTTATTTTTATTATAGTTAAAAATTATAATTTCTCTTACAAGGGAAATCACACCACCATTTTTGGAGTATCAGTAACTTATTCATGAAGAATATTTCATATTTATAAGAATTCAGAAAAATCTATTTCTAAGCTTTCTTATTAAATCACATGAAATCACATTACTCATTTTGTAGCTATTCTGTCATATTGTTATTCTAAACTTGACTTAAAAACATAAAGGCAAATGTATTTTGATTTAACAAAAGAGGCCAATATATAAGATCTGTGCCTAATATAATCATATTTTAACACATATTTTTCTTATTGTTATGAATTCTAAATGCACAATATAACTCCTGTTCTTCTTCCCTTTCTACATTCTTCCTTTCCCTTTCTTTCTTTCATTTTTTTCTTCTGGAAAATTTGTTGAGAGCTTAATATATGTTGAGTACCAGCCTGGTTATTCAGATCAGTGGAAGTTAGAGAAAATAATTATAATCAATATAGCAAGTGTTATAATGAGACATAAAATGTACTCTCAAAAGCACTAGAACATAACAACTTCACATTGTTTTGTGGAAGATGTGTCTCTGCCACTGGGTTTTAATACACTAAGGACTGAAACCCTGTCTTGTCCTTCTGCAATCACTTGTCACTGCCATATATAGTGCTTCACACATACTAGGCACTCAGTGAATATTTGTTGAGTTAAAGTGTATACACTTAGGACAACACATAATGTCACAATCTGGAGACTTTCTCTAAAAGAACTTCAAAAATAATTTTAGAAGTATTACATGCTTATTGTATAGACTTGCAAAATCCAAAAACAAAAAATACAGTTTATGTTATCTACATTCCCATCTCTGAGTAATAATTTAATGCATTTCTTTACAGTCATTTCCTTTGCATATTGGGCAAATTAGTATTGATACATTTATATTTATATATAATTCTGTACACTATTCATTTATTAGACTGTGAATATTTCCCATGACATTACATAGTCTTCAATATTAGTTTAATGGCTGCCTAATATTTTATAAGGATTTATAATTTAAACATTACTTGATCATTGAGCAATTAGGGGTTTTTTTTTACAGTGATTTGTAATTATAAATAATTACACTGCCTTGATCAGTATTCTGGTTACATAAATCTTTGTCCTTATCTCTAATTATTTTGCTAAGGATCATATATTTTGGCAAATAAACAATAGAGAGGAGAGTACTTGGGGATTTATTATGTCAAAAATTTCCAAGAATGAAATATTTTTCAAGCTGAAGTTATTATTTTTAGTAAATTGTGCCTATAATTAAAATATATACCTTTTTAAGAGTGCTAATGTAAACATTTTCATGGGATTTTAGTGCTCAGAAAGGAAAATTATTTGCGTTAACAAATTGTCTTTTTACTTCATATTTTTCTTCAGATCTTGCATATAGGCAGTTGCAAATAAATGCTCTTTGGAGAGATGAATAAATAGAATGCATGAAATGGAACATTATAGAGGAGCTTAATAAAAAAATTTGTTGGAAGTTCTCAGAGAAACATAATATCTAAATTTCAAGTCTTTACTCATAGCATTTGAAGATACTTCTGACAGAATTCCTTATCAATGAATAAATCCTATAAAGAAACTATTTAGAAGCATGTTCAATTTGCCATTACTATCCCAAAATTTAGTAGCTTAAAACATCAGTCTATTATTTTGTCTCATGCTTTGGGCAACTGACAGGCTCGGCCAGGCAGTTCTTGCTTGAGACTTCTCAGGTAGATCCTGGGAAATGGTTGCTGAAGGTAAAGGCATCTGAAAGCTTCTTTGGTCATGTCTGGTGTCTAACTCAGGATGCCTGGAGGAGCTTGGGTCAAGTTGGGTGTCTCTTCCTCATCAGGGCCCCTCCAAATGGGCAGTTTGGTCTTCTTTACAAAATGGTAGTCTTAGTGTAATCAGACTTCTAACTTGGCAGTTAGCTTTTCCCATGAATGTATTCCAGCAGCCCCGGGGTAAGACTCAAAGCTTGTTAAGATATTGCCTCAAAAGTTATACAGTGTCACTTCTACCATTATCTACCAAGTCCAATAGCCACAGAACAGCCCAGATTCAGAATAGGCTCCAGTTTTCAGGAGGGATTAGTTGCTTAAACAGAGAGGAAAGGAAGTATGGGTGGCCATCTTACACACAGACTAAGACAAAGTCCTGAATGTGTTCTTCAAATGACATCTCTACCTTTCTATGTAATTTTAAATGGCCTTTCCCTAACACACACTTTTTGTCTTTCTTTTCTTCCATCAATAGAAACTATTTCCTAGATTAACAGTGAAATAATGAAGGATCTGTATACTCTGCTTCTTTCAACAAATCAGATTTTATAATCACATCTGTATTCAAATCTCAGCTATGCCATTCATAGCAGAACAAAGTGGGCTAGTAACTTCTTTTCATTAGAATGGACTCTGATGCCCAGTGCCTAACATAAAAATCAAATAGACAGTATAGACATTGACTGCCTATTTTTAACTAAATAGTCTCTTCAAAATTCCATTATCCTCTTTATTAAATAGGGATAATAATGACCACCTCACAGTGATATGGTGATAAATGAATAAATTAATGTTTGGAAATAACTTAGTATAACACCCTACTATAGTACAAGATAGTAAGAGTATGGTAGCTATTAGTATAATTTTAGTTAATACATCAGTTATTATAGATACTACTCTGTTACTATCACCAGTCTCACAACTTATTACACACCTTCTTCAGCACCTAGATCTAGTTTATTTTCCTCAGCACATCATTAGTCACTGTTTCAATGGGGCTTGATATTGTTGAACATATTAAATATATTTTTACATAAGGCCCAGATCTTGCCAGCCTTAATAATCGTGTTCTTCACGTCACTCCTGAAAACCAAAATGTCACTCAAAACTACCCTACCTTTCAAATATCTCAAATTCTGGTAATTTCCCTTCCTAATACAAATTCCTACCTGTTATATCTTTCTCCCAGTATAATCCTGTCTGTTGATTCCTTCCTTATTCTCATCTGCCACCAATCATTCTGGCTGTACCTACTCCCTACCCCGCCGTCCTCGTCCGTTACTCATGTCCTTGGCATCTGTGATAGTAAACAGTCACACACTTCCAAACTTCTAAGTCCAAATATATCCCCCTAACTTCTTCAGCTCCCACTTTCCTAACCTTGCTGACTTGCTCAGTTCCACTTCAAAATAATGTAATGTAACTAATATGGAACTCCAATCCTATTCCAAAATCTTCGTATTCTCGCTCTGTATTCTTTCATCACCTGGCTCACCCAAACCTTTCTTCTTATCCTCCAGTCTCAGTCTCCTCTTCACCCAATCACCCTGAGTTTTGTAGAAAGTCTATATTCTTCATTAGTGAAGAAATGAGCACCTTCCATGATTGATTCTCTGTTTTTCCCCTTGCTATCTCAAAGGCTTTCTGTTTTCATTATTTCAATGTTGCTTCCTTCATTTCTCTTCTAAGAAATACTCCCATCTCATCTCAGGGATGTCCTTTATACCTTCTCCCACAGTCATATTCTTCTACTTATCAACTCCCTGATGGACTGAATAATAGTCCCTTTCTCTCAGATCTGTGCTTTCTGCCATCTGCTGCTGCTGCTTCCCACCCTGGGCAAAACGTTTATCCTTCACCTCCTAGAAATGTCATTTGCCCTAAAGAGGCTTTGAACCTCTTTCTCCTTTTCACTGTTCTTTCTTGTTGACAGTCTCTACTCAGAGGTTTTCACTAACTACTCTGTCTCTTTTGCACCCAGTCATCTCTTAGCTCCTTGAAGTCAACCTCAGTCCATACCACAAAATCTAGAGAGCAACTTACTACATGAGAACTAATTCAGTAATTATAACTTAAATGTACCAGTATAATATTTTTATTCAAAATAAAACCCTTCTTGCAACTTGAATTGTTCATGTCATGGGATAGAAAAATGTCAGTACAAAAACTGATGTTACTTTTAGCCACTAAAATATGAATACCTACATATTTTAAATGCTATTAAAATAACTATTTTAGGAATAATAACACAATGATACATTTCTCCTCAAATCATAGTTATTCATTGAAGATGAAGTCCATTTATGCACAGATTAATCACCACCATTCTTAACCATTCTTTCATCACCAAAAGGCAATTAACTCTAATTCATTACCTCTCCATACCTACAAAAAATGAATTTAATTACAGTCTCCTTTAAACTTTTCACAGAACTTTATGTATGCCCAACTTCTGGTATATGTACTTTCCTTTTCCACGCTATCATCATTTCAAATCCTTTTGTATCTCTTTTGTTGGAGTTTAAGTACTTGATAGACTACATCACAGTGCCTGTACATCACAGACTTTTTGAATATGAAATTAGCTCCATCCTCTGAGAGCTTTTTGAATGGATGGAATTGTTTTTATTCTTTGTAGCATTGCCTATAACTTTCTGCTGCAGCCTCCGCAAACTGTGATTGATTTCAACAGCTGTAGTTGATATTGGCATTCATATCCTGTGTCTGGTTTTAATTATTTTTTCTTTTCCTATAAAATATAATGCTAATTAGTAGTTGCCGCTAGGCACAAAATGTCAGAAAAATATTCAATCTATAATTCAGTTCCCCCCAGAAATCCTAGAAACCAATTTGCATCCCCTAACTTTTTGCTGTCAATTTTCATTAGTGAATACATATTTCATTAAGATGATTACATAGTTTGATGAGATCCACATTGGAAATGCAATTTCTCATGGCTCCTCATCATGGTCTGCACTTAGCCTTCTCCATTGCCTTTTGCCTATAGGTCCCCCAGGCCCACCAGGGATAGTAATTGTTGAGGAAATCACCGAAAGCACAGCCACACTGTCCTGGAGTCCAGCAGCTGACAACCACAGTCCAATCTCCTCCTATAACCTGCAGGCTCGCAGCCCCTTCTCCCTGGGCTGGCAAACTGTGAAGACAGGTAAGAGACCCTAAGGCAATGGTCAGACACACCAGAACAGCTTCCTACCACCTGAGGTAAATTTGTGAACTATCTCCCTAAGATTTTTTGGATTCTGGAAACTTGTCATTATTTATTACAATATTGACTGCTGTTTACTTCTTTTCATGAATCTAAGGAACACAAGATCCATCGCTTTCCTCTTTTCTCAATTTCCAACGAGGAACCACATCTTGTTTATTTGTTGGAATAATTTTAAAATCACATAGAAGTTTCAAAAAATAGTAGGCCCACTCTTCAAACTCCTGATTATAACATGTTATGCAACCATGGTATAATTATCAAATCAAGAAATGGACATTAGGGCAACACTATCAAGGAAACTTCAAGCCTCAATTAGGTGTCACCAGCTCAACTGGCAATATTTGTTAAAGTTCTATGATAAATTTTGAAATTTTATTGTATAACCTCCTGGACAGTTAGGAAGTAGAACTGTTCCATTGCCCCAGTTCCTTGAGCTACTCCTTTACAATCACACATGCATTTTGTGTATAAAAGAAATTTAATGTGAATTATGTTATTTAAAACAGTCCAGTATTTTAATGTTTACTCTTAGAATTGTATTATAGCAGTTTATCATATTTATTTTTATGGTTCTAGGTATTTAATCACATTCAACTACAACCTAAGTCCTTTTTGTTTTGTTTTGTTTTTTGGTACCGGGGATCGAACTCGGGTCCTTGCGCTTGCGCAGCAGGCGACGAAACCACTGAGCTAAATCCCCGGCCCCCTAAGTCCTTTTTAAAATTTTAAATATTTGAGACAGGCTCTAAGTTGGCCAGACTATGCTCAAACTTGGTGTTCCTGCCTCAGTCTCCTAGAGTACTGGGATTACAGGAATATAGCACCATACCCAGCTAGTTCCTTTATTTAAAAAATTATGTTTGTCCCTAATGGTTTTCTTTTTATGTTGTATAACTAAACTTTTCTTCTCTCTCAAAATGTGACAGTCCAGCAGGAATATGAAAAATCACACTCACTTGGTGGTTATTAGATATGTACTTAACTTCAGAAGTAGTCATCCATACTAGCTAGGTGGTTATGTTTTACTTCAAAATTGATTTAGAAGTGAAATGTAAGCATCAGTAAAATATTTGAGTTCAGAAACAATAAAATTCAATCAGAATATTATGGCAATGGAGTAGTCTACTTGTTCCTTAGATAAATAAAATTTGAGAAGAGAGTTATTTTGGTATAAAGTTTACAAGAGTAGAGAAAAATACATATATTTACATGCAAATATAATCCAGATTTTACCTGATATGTACACTTCTGCATTAATATAGGCCTCAATATGATTATCATTATAGTGTGCTATGCACATATATACATATTTTTGTGATATATATGTGCAATGGTCTCATTCTTGGATTCATTGTCACCTTGTGAAATCACTGGAGAGCCAAAAAATTGAGGAAAACCTATGGAGATGGTAGATTCAGGAAGGACGCAAATTCACAAGCCGATTTACACAAGAATTCTTGTAACTTCCACCCCAGTGCTCCCATATTATCTTTAGTGGTACAGCTCAAAACTTTCCCTACTCTGTAGCTAGGAGATGGACTCAGTGTCAGACCTGGGGTTGTGCACCACCTATTCCAGTGATGGCAAACCTTTTAGACCTTTCGATGATACAAACATCTGCTGAGACAAGTGCACCGTAAGTTCGCCACCACTGCATTAGCCCATCTCTTGCCCGAGGCTATGCTCCTGCTCACTCTTGCACAGGACCCTACAGCTTACTGCTCTGCTTGTTTCTTCTGAACATCTGTCAATATATATAAATATTTATCTTATGCCCATAGTAATTGACAACATCTTATATTTCACCTACTACATACATTACATACTTCCCTTGTTACATTTATTCTCTGATTTCTGTCTGATTCCTGTCTCTGTTTTTCTTTCTTGGGTCATCTCTTCCTACTTCTTGTTTGTATGAGGGTGTGTTTGTGCCTGTAAAAGCATGGGCACACCTGTAGTATTTAAGCATTTTTATTAAATATTGTATTTGTTTATTTTAGAAATGCCTACTGTGCATGTGCATCTTTATCCTTCTAACATAGTTTTGTTTTTTGGTTTTTTGTGGGGGTTTTTTGGTTCTAGGGATCGAACTCAGGCCCTTGCACTTGCGAGGCAGGAGGCAGCACCACCTTCTAATATGGTTTTAATACTAGAAACACATTTATGTTAGGAGTTCTTTTTTAATTATGATAAGGACTTATTAAAATTCTGTGGTTATCCTATATTTATAAGTAAATGCATTATTTCAGAAATAGATTTCTGTAATTGATCAATTTTATTTACCTTTGATAGTGCTAGGTATCTTCAAGGTGTTACTCCCTTAATCTAAGTCAATGTCAAAATAAATGCTAAAACAGAAGTACGTATTAGAGAAAAACAGTCTGGAGTTTAAACCTTAGATTAAAGTTAATGTAATTTATAAACTAGTATTTAAAAGCACTTAAAATTTCTTTATATACTAAAATGAATATAAATAATAGTAAGTGCTTTATTTTTGGCAATTAAAGTAAAATGTTGCACATAGACCTTCTACATCTTAGAATTAACTTATATATACTGCCTCCTACAAATGAGATTTAAAGGTAATGATAATGTATTCGTCTTGAAGAAAGTATGAAAATAACCTTAAGAAATAAATATTTTCATTTCCAAATCCCTTTTGTATTGAAACAAACTGGTTTTTAATATAGAAATGTGACTCTCTTCTTCATACTATTGAGCAATATTAGGTCATTCAGTATTTTCTTGACTGTGTCTGCTTAGAGTATCAAATCCCCTAGAAGCTTAGAATTGATTGGTCTCTGTTTTCTTAATTCAGCTATGTTTTTAAAATAGCCCTCCATCAGTTTATATGTCTTTTATCTATGGATATGATTTCCATGGATTAATTAAATCTGCCCATTTAACAGGTTATTTGGTATTTTATTAATTAAATTCTTAGATGTGATTCTTTTACTAGGAAAGACATTTCCACAAGATTCTTTCCATTAGTCAATGTGAGGTCCTCTACTGTCTTTAATCATGTTCGGTCTGAAGTACATTTTGTTTGAAACTGAGTTGTTCCCATCATTCCCAAAACAATATTTTTAAAAATATACTTGCAGAGCTTTTATAAACAAATTTTTGTTATAATCATGTTATCTCTAATCCCCACAATTTTGCATTTAAAATCAAAATCCTGATTTTATAAAACAAAACTTTGTTTCTAACTCATTTCACAATTCTTTCTGGATTTTAATAGTTCAGTTCATGTTTTGTATAATTATTTTATATCCTTCATAAGAAATTATAATTTTAGAATTTCCAAAAATGTTTTTCATGTGACTTTAAAGAGTTTAGAATGCTGGAGAGGATGTGAGATTGGGGAGGGCATCTTTACAGCCTAAATTAATGACCAAGAGGATATAAATATGTGAGGCCATACACACACACACACACACACACATTATACCAGGCAATTGAACTCTGCTTTCAATCATCTAATAAAATTTATTGAGAACTTTGGTGGTACTGTTTTAGGTACTTGGGATATATTGATGAGCAAAAAAACAAAAACAAAATCCTTACCTTTGTAAAGATTGTATTCTAGTGGATAAACATAAACAATAAACAGAATAAAATAAGTAAGCAAATTGTATATTATCTTAAAAATTGATGAATGCTATAGGGGGAAATTGTACTGAGTAAGGAGTACCAAAGGTACTATTAGGGCTGTATATTGGCTTGAGCTTCCATAACAAAATGTTTGGACTGGGTTTATTAAAAATCAGAAATTTATTTCTCACAGTTCTTTTTCCTGGCTTGCAGATGTTCACCTTCTTACTGTGTGCTCATATTTCACAGACAGAGACAGAGACAGAGAGAGAATATGCACACATACACACTTTGGTGCCTTTTCTTATGAAGACATTAATATCAGAACACCACTCTTATGACTTCATTTAACCTTAATTACTTCCTTATAAAAGCATTAAATACAAGAGATTTCAAATACTAGTGAGGCGATAGCAGAGCACAGTTCAGAGAAAATGGTAGAAGACGAGTTTAGAGATTGGCAGGATCAAATCATAAAGGATACCCTGAAAGAAATGGAGAAATATTGGAGGGTTGATATTTTAAGTCTTATCTTTTAATACATTCATTCAATCCTTGTTAAAAATATATCATTACAGTAGTGGCACATGTGCTGCAGCAGGCTGTTTATTATCATTAAAAGCTCTAAAATGTTCACCATCACTGGACTATTGGAAAGGAAAGCAGAGAGTCACCAACACAGTTGGGAAGCTATCATAGTTGAGAGATGTTAGTGCTTCACAGTGATAGAAGCAGAGATTGTAAAAGCTGTCAGAATTTGAAAACATTTGGAAAGCCAAATCCATGGGATTTCCTGGCATTATGCTGTAAAATGTATAATAGAAAAATAATTAAATGATTACCAAAGGACTTTTTTTTAACTTGATCAACTCTATAGTAAAATTACTATCAAATATAATAGAAAAGTTTGCAAAATTGCAACAGACTGGACAGAATTAGATCACAAGTTTGACATATCTATCAGATGTCCAAAGGGAAAGTTCAAGTACATAGTGGAATACATGAGTCTGGACTGTAAGAATCAGGCTTAAAATAAAGTTACAAATTAAAAACTTATTGGTATGTATATTGTATTTAACATCATAAGATTGAATGTCAGTTCCAAATAAGTAAATATAAAGAAGAAGAAAACATGGTAACTGAACACACTGATAGTAAAATGTTGAGAAAAGAATAAGCCAAAGGAGAAAGAGAAAAAGCAATTATTGAGGTAAGGTTAAAATCAAATAATATAATTTCTCACAAGATAAAAGAATAAAGTCTATCGAGGGAGCCACAGTAATTGATTGTGTCAAGGTTGATGACAAGTCCAGTAAACTGAGGGCTGAAAATTGACCAATGGTTTTAGCAAAATGGACTCACTAGTGAACTTGACAGTAACAGCTTTTGTGGAATAGTAGGTAGTAAAATCTGACAAGAAGGGTTCAAGAGACATTGGGAAGAAAAATTAGTACAGACAACTCCTAAGAAGGACTGCTGCAAAGAAGAGTGCAGAAATTAACATATTTTGAAACCACAAATACCATAATTGCTTATGAGTTGTAGTCCAACAAAAGAGAAAGAAAAGTATCCAGGATAGCACCCCAACATTTTTGCTCTATCTGTAAGAGAGCAATTGTCCGTCCCTAAATAAGAGTTTTTCAAATTGTATTCAAATAGCAATGTATAAAAGTTTAGGAAAGAGGTTCATGACTGAAAATATTGGAGTCATCAGCATATAGAGGGTAAATTAAAATCATTAGACAACATAAGATCATCAAGAAGTAAGAAAATGGGAAAGAAAAGCTGACTGTCTGAAAGACCTCTAGAATATGAAAGGAAACAACAGAGACTTGATAAGGCATAGACAAGTACAAGAGGAACAGAAGTTTAAAAAGCATTTCAAAGGGAAAGAGCGATCAACTATATCAAAGGATGAAACCTGATCTTAAACTTTCAATAACAGAGACCAGTGGTAATCTTGATAGGAGACGATATGGTGGAAATCTGAAAGAGTGAACCTGATTAAAGTGGGTACAAGAGAGAATAGGAGGAAAATAGAGACAACAAGTAATACCACAGACAACTCAAAAAGTTTTGGATAGAAGAAACAGAAAACCTAAGTGAAGACTAGAAGAAGAGGAAAGGTGACGAGAGCTTCATTTTTTATTTCTGTAAGAAAAACATCCGCATGCTTTTATCCTGCCAAAAAAGATCCATTAGAGACTGGGTAGGGGTGTGGGGGATATTTTTCTCCACAATATTTTAGGAAGATTATTCCTTCAGAAGGGGAAAACATCCTGTTTCTATTAAAATAAAATTCTGGAGGGATGTTCAGAGAGGACAATAGTGTAAACAGGATTTTGCTAATGATGGTTCATGAATTTCAAAGGCAATGATGAAAGGACTGTAAGAATTAAAGAGGGATCTAAGCTGGATATAGGAGGACGTATGCAAATTCTATGAAGATTAAGTAAAGATGGCCCAGCAGCTTTGAGTTGTTGGAAGTTACTGACATAAATAGAAGTAAATAAGATAAATCCTGACAAACCCAAAGCAAGTAATGGTGATACAGTGTAGTGTGGTGCTAGAAAGGGCAGTGTCTGGGAGTCTTCCTTCCCACCTTGTGTGGCAAGCATATCTCAACATTTCATCAATCTATACACTAAACAATGGTAATTTCCCCCACCTCTCAGATGCCAAGAATATTGCTTAGTTTCTAGTGCAGTAAGAAGAGACAGACTTTTTGTTTTTCATCTGTCACCACTTAAGAAAATCAGCTCTGAGTTTGCTGAGATTTGTTAGGCAGCCCATAGTATGCATGCTCTGTTCATTCACTTTTCAAAGAGCTGCTAATTTGGTATAACATTTTTTGATGCATTTCAGAGAGATTTTCATGAGAATTTAAGATGATATAATTTTACTTTGCTACAGTAAAACTGAACTGTCATCAAATAAACAGCTCCAGCCTCCATGGTTGGCTCCCCAACCATGCTCCCACAGAAATCAAGGACTGCTATAAGTCCAGAGGATCCTTGTACATCATAATACTCTCCCTATTCCCCCTTTTCACCCACAACAAATTTCATAGCAGACTTAAGACAACAGAGATGAGCAAATAGAAGTGGCCCCAAATAGCACATGCATTCTATGTAAAAATATTTCCCTACATGATTACATTAATAAACCATTTTATATTTTTATAAAAATCTTAGTACAAAAGTCACTCCCACTTAGAGATTAGACATTTCATTTAGATCCCACAAATTTTAGTTTTGTTTTTTTTTTAATTAGAGAGGTATATTCTTATTCTGCTCTTTGGAACTCTCAAGTGACTGACTATATTTGCCAGCACTGGGAAAGACAAACTATTCAAGAAATTTCCCTAGAAACTGAAGAAAATTCTTTGCTTAATTATACCTTGATTTGGCCTTTTTCTCTTGAGCTAAAAGGTTGACAAAATGACTTTTAGTAGATAATGACAAGGAATGTAATGGCCAGTTATGTGTAAAGATGAAAGAATATTAATTACTCTGATACCTTTGACATATATAAGTGCTTATTTCCCAAAAATTGATTTTCATGTTCCTGGTGATACTGCAGATAATGCTATAACCATGAATTATGAGATATTACAGATTTCTCTCAGTAAAAATGACATCCTTGGTTGTTATGTACGGCATTTTTCCAGTCCTCCTAGTGATAAGAAATGTCCTTCCTTTGTCTAGTCCCAGAAACTATAACAGGAGACATGGAATCAGCAATGGCAGTGGACTTAAATCCTTGGGTGGAATATGAATTTCGAGTAGTGGCCACCAATCCAATTGGGACTGGAGATCCAAGCACCCCATCACGACTGATCCGCACAAATGAAGCAGGTAAGAATTTGGAGACCCAGAATTCACGATGAAGTCAAGTTTAATTAACTATGATTGCTGTATTGCTTGCCAATATATAACTTGTCCTGATATTGTTACCTAGATATCACAATATCATAACTTTTGAAATAATTCTTATAGTTTTCTTGGTTTTCCCTCTTTTTCCCCTTGTTTCTGCAAATACAAGCCTCTAAATACTTCAGCTTTCTCCCAACCTTTGTACTATCTTCATGATACCTTGAAATTGAGTTAATTCTTCCAATTACATACTTATTTTAAATTTTGAATACCTATAAATTAAAATAGATCAGCTCACCTTATCTTTCAGTAATAACACTTTCCTTTAACTCTATTCTGCTTTGTTAGAACTCCTTTATGTTGCCTTCACTTCACCACCTAACCTGGATAATTACACTTTGCAAAGACACTGTCCTTTCTCCACCTATTGCCTTTATTGAAGCCAATGTGTATAATAAATACCCATCTGGTCTCTGACTTAGAAACAAAGCATTCCTTTTGGTCTTTTGAAGTGAGTATCTCTGGTAAAAGTAGTTTCTAATGACTACATAAAAGGAATTAACAGCTTTATTTAAAAACAAATTAAGATGCTGTCTATCACCTAGAAGGAACAGGAGCATAAATAAATAAAGAATAATGAAACTTTTGAATAGAATTTTAATTACTCTGGACAAAGTCTTATTGAGATCATTTATGTCCCTGTAAAATTCTGTATTAATTTTATAAAGAACTAGAAAAAAGTTGTTGGAAGCTTCCCAACACAATGATAAATGTCTAAGGAGATGGAAATGCTCATTATCCTGATTTGATCATTATACATTTTACACATGTATCAAATTATCACTTGTACCTAAAATATATATACAATTAAAATATATAAATAGTCTATTGAGAAAGCACCTAATAAGGTAGTTACTTAATTGAACACAAACAATAATTTAATGAAAGAAACATGAAAACAATAAAGAAATGGGGGACAAGGGATAGAGTAAATATCAGATACCAAGAGGAAAGAACAAGTTTTAAGGTTTTTTTGTACTTCATAATAATATAAAAATCTCAAAAAAAGTGCACTAAAAATGAAGATTTTGTCTTATTTCTTCATTGTTTTATCTTTGGGACCTGAAATAGTGTCTGGCTCTGGTACTCAACATGTCATGATTTAAAAGGGAACATTCCTTTTCTTTCCTTTCTACATTCCTACCTGCATCATATGTAGATCAGAGACACATGAACAAAAAAGATTGTGTCCATTTTGTATTATAGTTATAGATTTGGACCAAAAATATGATTTTTGACTTCTAAAATATTAAACAGTTTATAATAATGAAAATATACTGTTAAAACAATTGAGCATACCTTGTCTAGCACCATGGAAGAAAGAATCACAAATGGTCAATTTATTGCATTAAGTGCAAATAACAATACAAAATATTTTTCCATATTAAAAAAATTAAGCAACCAAGAAAATAAGAGATAAAATATTCAAAATAGATTGGGAAAAATTCATCTGCAGAAAACTCAACTTTTCTGCTTTCGTGATTTGCCTCTACAAGTTGTTTTTTCTGCTACTTTTCAATAGTGTGAGTTTTAAATTGAACATTAATTGCCTGGTTGAATTTTCATGCATCCATAAAATCATCCATGTTTTCATTGTGTACAGGTGTTCATTAATTAAGAGCATAACCGGTTAGTCGTTCCTCATTTTATGTACTCACCGTGCAGATACTGAAATGACTGCCAATCGTAATACACTCACATATTTTCTAAAAAGAACTGTCTTAATTTGCATATTGTTAATTGTGTTTAAACAAAGACAAAAATTACTGCCTAATTCAGAGACCCTCTATAAATATTCATTTCAAACATAAATAATCCATTTGGGATAAATAATCCTTTAAAACATTTTATAGTATAAATCTCCTTGAGCTATTAAAAGCATTTTAGCAAAAAACACTTTATATCTTAAGCTAGATCGTATTCAGATGGTGCATTTAAAAGACTTCATCTATTTCTGCAGCTACCCCTCAATCATTTTCTCTGTCTCTCCATTTTATTATGAGTTCTATATACATGATGTACTTTAGTCCATTAAAATCTTATGGAAGTGGAGAGAAATAGCATGAAAAATGCATGAAGTGCTCTCCCCTGAAAGCATGTTGAGAAAGACCTGTACTGCCTACATTATGCTTCTTTTGCTTGGATACCACATGCAACTAGAGCTACTAATGGTATTGAACCAAGTGCTGAGTTTTTGTGCTTGTTTTGTCAGGCGGCACAGATTAGGGACACCAATATACTGAAATATACTCTCAAGTGACACATTCTGCCTCTTTTAAGTATATATCCTATATTTTGAATGATAAGTCTGTTTCTAATGAACCAACTAAACTTAAAAAATTGACAATGCTGCCTAGGAGAAAAAAGTCTCAAATTAGAATATTGAATGGGATGTTTTATGCCCTGTTAAAATTTTCTAATTTGTAGAAAACTCTAAATTCTAAAGCAGTTTTAGTGAAGTATTTCTAACTTAACATTCCTTTTTTCTTAATTAACAAAAAAAATGTTCTTTGTATTTTCCCTTAATAGTAAATTTTGAATTTTCCAGGCTTCAAACACCTTGATAATTAATAAAGATAATATAAATTGGCTTGGTCCAGCTAATATTAGTATTTTAATTTTTGAATGTAAAAATATTAGTATAAATACATAGTTCTACCTGAGTATACATTTAAGGTATATTTATTTATAATCTAATTGTCTTACAAGTTTTATTTAGATGATTAAAGAGAAAGAGGTAGATAATCTTGTGTTTAATTTATCGTGTTGTTATCATCAAACTAACATAAATTTGGAGTGGGATAATCTAAATGTTTTGCAATTTAATAAGATGAGACTAAACAGAGAAAAATCACATTTTTGGGAAATGAATTTGAAAAAAACACTATTGTAGAAATAGAATATAAAAGCATTACTTGAACTTTAAGATAAGTTACAAATTTATAACATTTGAAAGGTAAATGAAAAGAAGTTAGAGTTAACTATGTACTTGTCATGCAGAAAGATTTTATACTTTCTGTAGTATAATATGTATTATCTCCAAAGCTCTTGATATAAATCAGTATTGATGATTTTGTTATTTTAAATTTTAATGAAATACACACACATCTTTTAAAAAAAGTTTTACCTGTAATTACGTGATTGAGTTCAGATCAGGATTAATGTTCCACTGAGCTATTTACTGGCATTGTGAACATGGGCAAGAGTACTTGAAACTTTGATTTTCCTCACTTATAGAATGGAGAAAATATTATAACCTATTTATTTTGACCATTATATTAAAAAGATAATGTGTAAATACTAGCAGCTATTTTATTATCATCATCAATTTAAATGAGTTATTTATAAAATGGGAATTTAAACAATAACAATCAGGCAAAAGTAGCTCTTTTATATAGAGGACATATTTTCAAGTTACTTATATGTATCCTCTGCATCTCCTTTCCAACCCCATGTCTGGCCTGATGTGCTGCTTTTATACTCTTTTTCTCTGGCTAGTACTGAATCTATAACTAGATTTTCATAGAGGCCAAAAATTTATAATTGACTTTGTTGCTTGTAGCATAGACATGGCAAAGGTAATCAAGAAAGACCTACTCAAAGTCTCTATTTAAAGACCTATATAAACTTTTACCACAAAGAGCCCTCCATTTTCCCAGGACATTGAACTCTGTCCCCCAATTCCCTTTTGACCCTGAAATGGAAAATCACACACACACACACACACACACACACACACACACACACACACACACACATTTCTGGCTACACAAGGAAAAATACTGGGTTTTTTTGTGCATTTAAGAGATCAATGCTCCACCAGGTAATTGTATCAAATGCACAACTGGATTAAAATCTTTTCTAGTCTTAGTACTTCCTGTTTTATATCATATATATGTAACTGGTGTACTAAACAGATTAAACTCTATTACAGAGTCAAACACAAAATAGTGATATTTTTCTCCCACTATTGCTCTGTAATGTGCTCCAACCATATCCAGCTTCACCCTCATTTATTTCCCAGGCACTTTTAGGATCTAGGGCAGTCTCATTTTCAGGTATTAAAAATTCCAGTTTAATTTAAATAAAAACTACAAACTTTCACCCAATTTCATGCTTTCCCCTTCCATCCCAGCACAGACCTGACCCAGGAGCTATAATCTTTTTCATCTTCCTATTTCCTGCCCCCACCCTTCAATGGCTACAATGGCACTTCCCAGGTCAAATAAAGAGAAAAACAACTACTTAGGTGACATGATTTGTGTTTCTCACTGAACACTGAATTTTGCACGATAGTAACTTTGTCCTACATCTTCTTCTCTCTCTTTTGAGGTGCACTGTGCATTTTGGAAATGTCTTGGTCCTTAGCAGGCAGCCTTATTGGCTATGATCCCAATAAGCCTGTCTAAAGCCACCTTCTACAGTATCCACTTGGCCTACAATGCTATGTCACATTCCAAGCCTGACAAACCTTAGAAATATAAGATGTTCTCAAGAACTATTTTTGCCTCTGCTCTGATACCTCAGTGTGGGGACAGGCCATCCCACAAAACTCTGAAGCTCAACATCAACCCCTGAGGATGAGAGGCGAGCATTGAACTCTCCGATGGTTGTCTTACACCCATCATTGTCAAGCTCATTTAGCTTGATTAGCAAAGGACACCTTCCCTTCTCTATTGACAGGTCTGAAGCAGACACCACAGCACATCCATCTTCTAAACTGACACCTTTCTTCCAAAACAGCAGTATTGTGGTATAATCCCATATATGAGGTCTGCTCAAAACATACAGTGCATGTTTGTTTTAAATTATATTACAGTAAAAGACACATTGCCATTTAATCACATTAAAATATTCCTCTTCACTTCAAATGCACTTATCCCATTGTTCTTGCCACTTTCTGAAACACTTCTAGAAGTCTT